GTTCTATAATTGTGTCTACAAAACCGGTACTCGACGAGTTAAATAAAATAAACATTTAAACGAACTCAATAACAAAGATAGTTGGGACGCATGTATCCTTCTCGGCATCTCGAGCGCAAATGAGATTCCTCCGACCGTGGCGCCGACGAAGGAGACCGCAAACCTGATTTCCCGCGCTCCCGCCCGATAATTATAGGAAATTGGCGGGAACGCCGCAGCCAGGCGCCCAGCACCGCACGTAATTATGAGAGATTAAATTTCATTAACACGAGAGTTTATCAGCTAGAACAATATGATACCTACGTCTAGTTTGTGCTCAGAATACTGCGATTAGTGTTAACACTGATCGGTGAAGTTTGTACCAACATGGACTTACATTTATTTAGTAGTCATGTTTGTAATATCAAGTTAAGCCGATGAGATTTCTTTAATAGAATTTGAACATAAATGATTACGTTTCTATGCAAAATAGCCGACCAATCGCCGCGCCTTTCCCTGTTCCAAATAATTATTATTTGAATTGCTTTTAAGATTATTTTTATCGAGCAGCGGGATGAAAAACTCATTTCACTTAAGCCATCCATTGAAAAAATTAAAAGTCCGCGCCAATTGAAGACCGTCCAATTTCCCAAAGAAATTCAGAAAGTGAAAACAGAGTCTTTAACTTGGGTATTACGCTTTAGTAACAATAATTCAGAACGGAGGAGAATTAAAACTTTTTAATTACGAATTCGGTGTTGCTTTGAACAACACTTTCCTTATTTAAGTGAAGACTTGACTTTGCGCTAACTGGGATAACAAATGCCTTTTGTTTACACTTAAGTAGGAAGTATTTATAACCAAGTCGTTTTAATTAGTCCATGTTACGGCGGCACGAGTTTCAACTACGATTTTCGAATCAATATTTGGGCTTTATTATTGAGTACCTACTTACCACTTACCTGTTTTGGAGGAAAGACTCTGTGTAACATAATGTGGTATACAACTTTTGACTTTTGTGTACAATTTAGAATGTTACTCTATGGTACAATGAAAACAAATGAAAATATATTACAATCAAAGTGTCGCTAACTGTCACAATACAATACAATAATTTCAATTTGGTTTCGTTTTGGACGCTTCAAACGTTTTAGGCTAAGAATGATACAATTGCCGAAAAATAAACCGAATCCAAAGGATACCAAGGACCTGTGCAAGTGAGATACTTATTTATTCGTTTTTTAACAACAATTGTTAAAACAACGTTGTTGTTGTAACAACAATTGTGTGCTTTATAAATTAAAGCATTGACTTAAACGATCGTTTTGTGATACATTTATGCCTAAAAACCACCACGGCGGATACTTTTCTTAACAATTTATGTGATGTTTGCAGATGCCGTCCAGTGTGCAAGAGTCGGAGACGCAAGTGGAACGGTGAAATCCAGAACACATCAGCAGAGCTGCTGCTGGAGAGGAAACCATTACCTCTCTGCTATAAGAGATGGCCGACGGTAACCTTTATTTATAAAGTCACGGAATCTGTATCAATACTAATTTATATGAAAGCTGAAGAATTTGTTTGTTTATTTCAATGCAAATCTCCGGAACTAGTTGTTGAACTTATTGACTGTGGATTGAGAATGGGAGTATTTGTGGCTCCAGGCACTCCCGTCACCCTACATAGGTGCTATGTTGGTTGACATAACATTCCGGCTAGCTGTATGCTTACGTTTGGGTGCACTTTGCGTTTCTCCGGATTTTTGCCGCGGTGGAGAAAGAGTCGATAACTTGGGACACCATGGTCTTTCTTGCTGCAGAAGTTCAGGCCGCATAGCTCGCCATGCCAGCATCAACGACATCGTTCGTCGTGCTCTTGCCTCAGCCGGCGTATTAGCCATATTATAACCTAATGGTTTGGTACGTGATGACGACAAGAGAACAGATGGTATGTCGTTGTTGCCTTGGAAGATGGGTAGGCCTTTGGTGTGGGACGCGACCTGTGTAGACACCCCTGCGCCATCACATCTTCTAAGTACCGCTGCATGCGCTGGTGCGGCCACTTCATGGCGAAATATGCCAATCTTGTAGAAAACTACGGTTTTGTGCCGTTTGGGGTTAAAATTATTAAGTCATGGGGTCCCAGTGCGCATTTTGGTTTTAAAGAAATTGTTAGACTGGACTGGTCAGAAATAAGCATTGCCATGCAACGTGGTGATGCTCTGGGATCAGTCCCCAATGACAGTGATACGGACGAGTCTTTGCCTATTTGGGTTGGAGTTCTGTTTTTGGTATCGTTCTTTTTTGTGCCTGATATATGTTTTAGTTTTATATTATTTAAGTTGTATATATTTATTCAAATTCCTGTTATTTAAGTTTGTCATTTTCAAAATAAAATACTATGTTGTTGGAATTAAATAATTGTTTTCGTCTTATCGAAAAAATATGGTTAAATATAAACCATATTTTTGGATGTGGGTGTGGGTGGATGACGAATTGTATAGATATTTGGCATGTGTTACGTGTATTCCAGAAAGTGTTCCCCAACAGTCCGTGTCCTCTGTTCGCGCGGACGCGAGGAGTTCACGTGACGGAGCGCGGTGTAGCACACGTGCCACATGTCGTCAGGATCTGCCAGGCTCCCATCGATGAAGACGTCGAAACACCATACCTGCGGTACGCGCAGATGGCCAAGGCTATGGGTGAGATAGCCTTTTAGTTAAGACTGGCCGTTTTCATATCCCTTTAGGAGTGATGGTTTTTTTTTAAAAACGTGTCCCCACACTAGGATTATCTCCTGTGTCGTGGGTGCGTTTACAAACATATAAGTTCACATACACAATGACACCCAGACCCGAAACAACAATTTGTGAATCACACAAAGTGTTGTTCCGTGTGGGAATCGAACCCGCGACACGTTGCACGGCAGCCGGTTGCCCAGCCACCGCACCAACCGTGCACTTTAAGTCAGTCAGGTTAGATGTCACTTTTAGATTTTATTGTCATAGATAGCTAAGGAGTTTCTTAAAATTTAAGAGAGGTTGGTGAAAATGGAATGAAGCCACGTAAACCTTTTGTTTAGCCCTCGCTGAGGTTAAACTTGTTTTGTGTGATGTGTTAAAATAGGCAATTAAATATTCAAATTTTCTACCATATTTCTCCTTTACCTTGATGACTGAATGGGGGTGACTGTATTTTTGCTCACTAAATGGTGCTAGCGCGGACCTCTGGTTCTTCGTCCAATAAGAAATTAGCTAGGGACACCATTGGATGTTCAACTTTTGACAGCTATAGTAATTGGATAAAAACTAGTCTTGCTAGATTAGCGCCATCGTGCGGAAAACAACGGTAGCTCCGATTATTTAGCTTTATGATAAATATATATTGTAGGAGCACTGGGCGCCATCAAAGCTTGTTGCGCATTCTGTGAGTGTGGTGCCTGCTGTCCCTGTGGAGTCAGGGACTACGTGCTGCACGACGCCGAGCGCGCGGCGCGCTGCCGGTCCGACATGCGCACGTTCGACGCACGAGTCAAGACCGACCATCAGAGCATGCGCATCATGTATGACAAAATGTAATACCCTTACAAACTGGTTGCAGTTCGTCCAAAAAAATTTGCATTAATATGCAATAATCCCAAATCTATAATACTAATGAAAATGATGATGTTGACATTGGGTATATTTTTTCATCGGCTCCGATTATAGTGCTAACCTTGGACAAGTGAACAAGTATTGGTCTTTTACGGACTTTGTGACTAACCTACGAAATATCAACCTCCATTTCACCTTTGAATTTCTAGAGTTGTTAACCCAAAAATAAAGCATGTTATATGCTTACTAACTTTCATTCCTTACAGAGTAAGATTTCCAAAACCCACGATTTACGTATTGTTTTTCTTTTCATTTATTAGCCTAAATAAAAGTTTAGTGTTGATCAAATCAAAAATAATGCAAGTCTCATACTTTCATCCCTTTTATTTTTTATTTTACTTTTTTATTTTACGTCAATAAGAGAAATACGAAACTGTTCAGGGCCTCTAGCCAAAAACCACTTTAGCACTTGTCTACAGAGAGAGTAGAAATCAAAATGTATGGGGATGACACTGACAACTGTCAAAATTTACGTCAATTCCATATAATTTGGTTTTCTATTCTACGTGTAGACAAGCGCTAAGTGGCATTTGGCTACAGCTGCAGCAGGTGTGTTCATTCAAAAACGACATAATATTAACTACATCGCACATATTATAATAATTTATGCATATGCATTTTTTAAAATAATTTCATCAATATGACAAGTGAATATACAGTTCGTTTGTACAATTGATAGTTCAGGCTCGGCGATGAGGAATCAGTCAGCCAGTCAGTTAGGACAAAATATAGATAGCACGTGGTCTCTTAGGACGACCCTTACATTACTACTACTACTGCTCTTTGGTAACGTTGTGCCAAATTGACGTCAGTCCAATATTTATTTGTTTATTTACACTTTATTGTACACCATAAAAATACTGGAAAAGATATGATTGCAACAAGACTGGGCCTGGGTTATCAATAGAGACTTTCTGGATTTGTCAACCTTAAAGTTGCTATCTGGTTTATCATACATACTGCTTGCCTGCAGTTTGGTAGGATTTTTTATAAACTGCTAGATACTTTACTGCGGTTACTAGATTCGCTAGGTATTAGTTTTTACCAACTTTTATTTTTTACCATCTACATATATTATTTACTTATTTTGATAGATATATTAAAAACATGTTTTTGAACATTGCACAATAAGTTGAAATATAAAAATATCGAATTATTCTAGTTTCTTTTTTATTTAGTCCAAAGAATACTAGTTACATGACCAATGTAAACATGAAAGAGGACATCCAGATGCAATCGTGGAAACTTTTTGCAGACACCCAGATTATCATTATATACCCGTTTATTGTGGCTTAGAAAGATATGAAAGATAAGAAAAAAAGAGATAGAAAAAATAAAATTTAATAAAGTGTAAAAAAATACAAAATAAAAAAGTTGTGTCATTTAAGTGTGATATTTAATTGCTGTGCTTGAGTCTAATGCTGTTTGTACGTTACCTGCAAAATATGCAATGAAGTGCATTAGTCACAGTTTTTTATAGAATACGAGCTGAAGGATCACCTGATGGTAAGCAATCGGCGCCAACAGAAACACTAGAGGAGTTACAAATACGTTGCCGGCCTTTTGGAGGTTAGGGATTTGAGAATTGGGGTTTGGGGGATTGGAGATGGAGGTGGGGACGATTGGGTCTTATCTTTATCTTACCTTTTTTGTTATGTTTCTTGTGCGTATGTACAGATGGTATATTACTTTGGCTCTCTATGCTCCTGTCGGGGTGTGAGCCGGTTTTCGATAAATCAATCAGGTTTTTACTCTTCGAGGACTAGAAAATACAAAAGAAGGTAGACTATAAGAGGAAATAGTTTGTGTTATTTTTCAATTTATTTTGTTCTTAATTATATATGTTTGGGCTCGCTGCCTTTACAGCGGTAAGTCTCATCTTTAAGCAGTGGCTTTAGAGACGCTACGGCGTCCTCACCAACCGCCTGACGCAGGTCCTCACCGGACATGGGAGCTTCGGGAGGTACCTGTGTCTGTTAGGGCGGGAGGAAACGCCCAGGTGTCATCACTGCGAGGACCGCCCTGAGGACACGATGGAATACACTGTAGAGGATTGCCCTGCATGGTGTGAGCACCGCTCCCTTAGTATCCTTCAGTCTTCATGTCACCATTAGTCCTCCGCGTCGAAGGACAATTCGCCAACAATTAGAGAATGCCGGTATCTATTCATCGGTCGTTAGTAGCAGTATAATTATTAAATTAAGATTTATTTTTCTTTATTTTAATAGTTAAGGACGGTTTTATCATAAATTACAAAGTCATGATCGCTAGATCCACATACATACACAAATACACATAATTAGGTAATTAATTAATTTAAAAAAAAACTATTCCTCCTTAATTTTAATAATAAATTATTCCAAAATTATACATAGCATAATTGTACAAGTATATCGCTATCCTTGTTATTTGCACTGACAAACAGCCAGTTGCGGCAATATTTCACTTTTCAAACTCCGACAACCTTTATTCAGGACTCTGGTGATTAGCTACACAACATAAGCAACCTCTATTTACAAATGCTACGAGTTTAAAATGTGGTAGAAACGAATTCGAACAAACCATGTTATTATGCTCTTGACGGTTCTTAGCATCCTGCCAGTATTGGTGGCAGCGCTCCTGTATCTCCGGAGTGTCTTCCCTGCCGGGGGCAAAGTCGATCACCAGGTGATGCGCCTTCACCGGCTCGCCACATGATTGGTCATTCTCTATTTCCTCCTGTTTCTGCGTTAATGCTTCAGCCTGGGATGTGAAATGATTCTTCTGTCAAAGTTCTCAAAACAGTACGACTGTCATTTTATGGAGTAATGTTTCCATCATACATTCAGATAGAAATGGTACGTGGTCCTGTTATCCCATTCGATTCACAACAGTAGAGGAGTTACAAATGGGGCGCCGATCTTTGGTAAAATTACTATATAGGTAAATTGATACCAAAATTAACTCGTCGAGTACCGTCATTATAGACACAATTATAGAACAATAGGTTGCGGTCACCGGTGACCGCTTGGTGTATGACAGTTTAATTGTGATTGGTTAATAGATTTCTTAAGAAACGTATTGTTCAAAAACAGATCTAAAATGCGCCATTTATCCCATAGAAAATCTTTAAATACCTACCTTAAATATCTGCACAGATGGTTTAGAATCCATAGAGGATGAGGTGGAGAAAGGCACTGCTGCAGCACACTGGCAGCACAACATGGCCAGGAAGAAAGTGAGGACATCTGACACAACCTGCACATATCTCCAGAGCCTCACCAACCTCTGCAGCAGGGGGTGGAACACGTAGCAGCTCACCGTGAACATATGGATGGCATTGGGAACAGAACTCTCGAAATGATGATCGTCAATCCCACACCAGGTTGATGAAAGACCAGTTTTATACTTAGAAACCTTGAGAAATATACGCCTTGAAATAGTTTTGAAGTTCACTGCTGGACTGACAACTGACAAGTTGATGTCAGTTTTCAACACGTGCTTGTTGACACTTGGTTTGACAGAATACAAACTAGCAAAGAGGCTTGCAATTTATGAGAAAGATTTTTGTAAAAACTTGAGTTCATAAGAAAGCTTCACAGCTGAGCACAAACAGTATAATAAGTATAGGGGGCTGAGTACGAGAGAAGTATCTGCTCTGCATCTGTTTTTTGGAAGTTTGTAATTGTGCCCAGACTGCCAAGTATATAGCAAATAAGACCTCTTATTAATTAAGACCTTGAAATGACAAAAGTCGAGCTTAACACAAGCAATAAATGTTAAAAGGCTTGGGAAGGCATGAGCTAATCAATAGATTTCTATCTTTATTACAAGACAATTAAGTGGAAAATCATGATGTGGTAGCGTCTATTCTAAGGATGCGTTTCCATTGGCGCGGAGCGGGACGTAGAGGAGCTTAGCGGTGCACGAATTGACCAATCACTATGGTCGAAATCTCTGCTTCTCTTCAATGGAAACAGCATGAGCGGGGTGGAGCAGAGATGAGCGGATATTCATAATAAAAATACAGCGAGGCAATGCGGTCAACGAGCATTTGGGTGCAGAGCGGAGGACAGCGGGCGAGTACTATGTGAAGGACGGCGAGGGCAACAGCTGATAAATGCTACGGCATCTGATTCCTTCTCAAGTAGAGAAAGATTTAAAATGATTATTTTTTTCCTTTTAATCCACAACGCGACGAATGGTCTTTCTTTCTTTATTGACTGTACCTAAACGCAAAAATACGCAATGGGGATGATGACAGGGTATGAAAATTAAAAATATAATTAGTCCGTAAATTAGGTAATTAAAAAATATTAGACACATATTTTTTTATTTTGTCGTATAATAAAACAATACTTAGATAAAACGTATCAAAGCTTAGGAGTGGGGGCTAAAACGTCATTTCTTAGTATAAAATGTACTGAGAAGTGACGTCACGCGACATTTCAAATCAATATATTTTCGAAACTATTCGTCTCCGTAAGAAAATAAAAAATACGTGTCTAATGTTTTTAAATAATCTACCAGACGGACATTAAAATAAAAATTAGTCGTCTACCCTATTGTAAGAGTAGGCTCCGTTGTGCTCTTTTTCAGTCCGCACCGCTTCAGTGGAAACACTGACCACTTTTCACCGCTCTTCACTGCTCCTCTCCGCTCTGCACCGCGTCAATGGAAACGCAGCCTTATAACGGTGGCCAGAGATTTGACTATTTATTAGGTACAAGTTGCGCATTGTACTTGCACTCTGTTCTATTAAATGAAATGAAGCGAACGAAATCATTAAGATAAGTCTGCTAAGTGTGCTTTTCTAACGGTGTTCATATATCCGGATCTCGTGGAGGAGGCGAATTGTCAACTTGTCAATGAGTCAACCTTAGTAACAGTAACTAAACGAGATTTGGGGACGAAAACAAATAAAATGATTTTCAATCATACGAGGTTCGTCTCTGTCAACATCATGACGGGATTGTTATACGCCTCAGGAGTGATTTTTATAATAGTATCAGCACTTCGGCAGGAACAGTAAAAATGACAAACAACAAATAAAACTTCATTATTATTAATTTTTAAAACTATTTCTTGACAAATAAGTAACTAATAATAAAAGAACGTACGAATAAAATCATTATCTAACATTAAGTACAAGTAACTATAAACAAGTAAGGTTGTGGTGGACTTGTCTCTGGATCGTACAGTGCTGCAGAGCAGGCGCGTGGCCTGGAGGATCCATGTTCCTGGACAAATTCACAAAAACAAATAAAATAATACGCACGTTCCAATATTCATTCTATGTCTAAGGATTGTACAAATATTCCAACAATTTACCTGTGGTTGGATCGGCAGATATACTGGAGGGAACATTTTAGGTCTTCAATGGGAGATGGGCTTTCATTGCAGTAAAGTACCTAATACATGTATGCTTACTTGGGGTGCTTCGCGTCCCAGTCGTTCAACTGCCGGCTCAAAAGCTTCAGTTTGGAACCATGTACTTTGGAGGGCTTCTTACTAACGACATGGATCTGTGATGAGTGTAGAGGACACGACACCTTGGGAGATGATATACACGTACAAGCTGGAATATAAATTATTCTTGATTGGCGACATAGAACAGACAGTAAAAAGGGTGCTTTTTATTAGAATCATAAGATTATTGAGACGTGGGTTGAGGGTCTCCCACTCCACAAACAAATACATATTACATTACCTAGTTTCTTCTTCTTCTCCTTTTTCTTGGGTTGTGGTACTTTAGTATCTTCTTGTATGTATTCACGAGGGCCCAGCGAACATGTTGACGCCATCTTTGCTCCAAATATGCGATTAATTAGATCTGAAAACGAACGTTAACAATTGGTCGGCATTACATGATTCGGTATTGTCTACATTAGATTTACAAACATAGCTTCAACTTCACGCCTGTCTTCGTTGGGGATGAGCAGAGACTATGGAACGCCAATAATGTGAGGATAATTGTGTAATTATAGGTCATAATATCAGTCAGATTTTACAATTAGAGCTGTATAATCAGTAGAACCAGGAATAAGAAAGGAAATTGGAGTGGGACAGAGCGTGGTAGAATGTTGTAGTCATTGAAGAAATCTATCTATTTACTTTTGTTCTCAGCAAACTCCAGCATCTCGACAGCCGTCTTCTCAGGAATCGACTCTTCTTCATCTTCATCTTCATAGAATTCATGGTCCATGGTATCAATGGACTGTTTCATTTTTGATACCGACTTACGACTGTCTGAGCTACTGCCTGTATCGAGAACTATATTCCCATCCTGAATAATGGAATAATTCGAGTAAAAACATTCTATTACGGACTAATTGATTATAACACTAGATTATTATAAACAAAAAGAAATTGTTACATAAATATAATAGTATATTAGAGTTTGTAAATACGAAGGTAATCCTATAGAATTTTTTAAACAGGATCTTGTTAATACGGAGTACCTACTATCTAAGTGAGTGGAGGCTTTGTTTATTAGTGGGACCTGTATTTTTAGGTGTATGTTTAAGAAGCCAAGACATACCGCCTTTGCTCTCAATTTGTGTAACTCTGGAGAGTTTTCAATAAATTCCCAGAAGGAGCATACTTTCTTCTGGACAAACTCGGTGTCAGTTTCTTTGTTTGGTGTGAAGTCCATGGTGAGGTGCTGAGGCTCCAAGGGCTCTCCGCACCATCCATCTGCGAACACGCTGAAGTTCTCTACAGACTTAGGGTTACTGGTCCCTGACTCCACCGATCTCTTATGTTCACTTGTCTGTAGGAAACAAGAATTGAGATCATCGGATATCATTTGTTATAATACAAGTAAAAATTATTATTATTCAAAAATTGTGTTTTATGACTGACGTTTGGAAATATTGTTGTCATGACAAGCGAGATAGGTTGTGGATTTTAGGTCGATCGGCCAGTATTATTTGCTAAAAGGAGGATGTATTGTTTTTTATTATAGCGCTTTATTAACACCAAAGAGTGCCTATAACAAAACTAATAGGAAATTAACACAACACACATTACATAACACGATGCCTTTGTTTTCCAAAGGGGTAAGCAGAAGTCTGCAATTAATATACATAGGACTACAGAGAATTTTGAAAGATCTGGAAATCCATTTTAAATTAATTATAATGTATGCGACCTAGCCAAGGAATCGAAATACAAGGCAATAAACACCAATGAAATTATTTATAAACATTTATTTTTACTATTTAGCGTTACGATTTACAATTACATTCTATATTATATTCTATGTAACAATTAAATTCTAGAAGTGAGTACTCAATTAACATTAAATTAAAAATAAATTAACATAATAATAGTTATATTAGAACAAGTCTGATTTAAGGAATCAGACATTTAGGAATAATTATTTAGGTAAGGATTATTCATCTGTTTATGTCAATATGTTGGAGGCTCCAGCTGTGAAGGATTCTGGAACGTATGGCAGTTGCATTAAGATACTGTCATTCCGAAGCCTTTGACTGTCAATAAAAAAAACTGTTGTAGGCTAATCCTTCGCTAACATTAGTCACGAGAACAATAGGGTGCCTAATTTTTATTTTAATGTCCGTCTGGTAGATTATTTTAAATCATTAGACACGTATTTTTTATTTTCTTACAGAAACTATCTAATACTTTCCATAGGGTTGCCACCTTTATTTTTGGTATTTAAAGTACATTGACGATTATAGGTAAGAAAAAAAAGTACACAGTACACAAATAAAGTATAATTTATTGTTATTTAGTATTATATTTAAAAAAAAAATATATTACTTTTTGCAGTTTGTATTAAAGAAGTATCTTGACTAAACAATTGCATCTTTACTAGAAATTGTCAAAGTGGCGCTGGTGAATGGCGAAATCGATTCAACATAAATCGATAAATATCGATATCGAATCGATAAGTTTACCGAAAAATACTTACGACTTTAATAGAAATGAAGTTTGCAAAAATAAAGTATTTTCGTGTACTTTATTATTTTCATAAAGTATAGAGTACAATTACCTTAAATAACGTACAATACTTTATTATAAAGTACGGGTGGCAACCCTAACTTTCCACGATATATTGATTTGAAATGTGGCGTGACGTCACTTCTATGTACATTTTATACGTAGAAATTACGTTTTAGCCCCCACTCCTAAACTTTGATTCGTTTTATCTAAGTATTGTTTTAATAAACAACAAAATAAAAAAATATGTGTCTAAAATTTTTTCATTACGTAACTTGCGGACTAATTAGAATTTTTAATTTTCATACCCGTCATCATCCCAATTGTACAGTACCCTGCAGTAAATATTGCACACCGACCTTTGGAAGGAGACAACCGGCCAAGTCGCTCCTGAAACCCAATAAAATCAGTCGAGCACTCTTCTCGAAACACAAAGGTCGAAAAAGAAAAAGTTTACAAGTAAAATATGATCATAGTATCACACAAAACTAGATTTATTATGTTATATTTCATTACAACAGCCCATTCAAAAATTTCTCCTTCCAACACTCGATGTGCAGTATGTATAGCCCGCGTCTTACAGCGCGTATTACAAAGATATTAGTTACAACGATTGTCTGCCCACACTTGTCTTTGAATGACGCAATGCTCCAGCCGTGGTGCATGTCCAGGAGGATCCATGGACCTGATAAAGTTATACAAGAAAGTATACGTAAAGTACAAACTTATATTACTATTTATAATAACTAAATTAATGGTCTGGATCTGACTAAGAAAGTGTAAATAATAATTATCTTCACAAGTTATAAGGTAAGTAGTGACTATGTGAGGTGTTTTCCTAATTAATTCATACTAGCTTTTGACGGCGACTTCGTCCGCGTATAATATGAATTTTAGAACATAATTTGTTTCAATTTTTTAAAATGAAAGTAGCTATTACTCCTTAATACATCAGCTACCTCCCAATAAATGTTTTGCAAAATCAGTCCAGCCGTTCCAAAGATTAGCCGGTATCAACAGAAAGACCGGCAGATAAAATAAGTTATTATTTGGAAAAAACAACTAATAATAGTTTCTATTTTAGTTGTTCTAGCCGGGTAAGTAAAATAAATGTAATATTGATAAAGTGATAAAGTGTTACGAATTTGTTGAGTGCATTTGTAATAATGATCTTTATTACGGGGCAGTAAGATATATTGTCGTGTTACATATCGAAGTCCTGTATTAGATTCGAGTTTCTTTCAGAGCGGAGTTAGGTGAAAGCAATGTCTTACTTAGGATGGTTGTCGTCCCAATCGTTTAGGATCTTACACAGCTTCTTGGCCTTTTTAGTACTTTTCTGTGCTCGGCCTGCTTTACTTGTGCCACTACTCAACGGGTCACCTGATACTTGATAAAATAAAAAGTCACTTTATTTTTAATTTTATTTTGAAAAACGTTGCCCCACACTAGGGTTATCTCCTGTGTCGTGGGTGCGTTTACAAACATACAAATTCAGATACACATGACATCCAGACCCGAAACAACAATTTGTGGATCACACAAAGTGTTGTTCCGAGCGGGAATCGAACCCGCGACACGTTGCACGTCAGCCGGTTGCCCAGCCACTGCACCAACCGTGCAGTCATTTTGGCATAGTTATCAACGTAATTTAAAATCTAGATAATTTCCTTTCAAGGTTTTACGATTCACACACATATAGCGAGACACGGGGGGTACAGCTTGGAAAAGCTCATAGTCGTAGGAAATGTTGAGGAGAGAAGGGCAAGAGGAGGATCCCCCATCAGATGGTCTGACCAGCTCAAGGACAACCCAACATCGAGATTCTACATCACAATACAAATGGCCGCAAACAAGAGCAGATGGAGACGATTCGTCCGATCCAGTATGTTGCCAGGATCACCACGATCCTCAGACATGAGGAAACGACCGGAAAGAGACCATTAATACAATTACGAAGAATTATCAACTATGTATTGTTTTGACATATTAAGCAAGTTCAATACATTATGTTATTATTTACTTACTTATTATGTCTAGGTTGTTCTCTTTGGAATCCCGAGAGAGGGACGTGTGCATTGAAGGTGTCTCAGTTATCAATCCTGGAATGATCAATCCAACGCATTTATTTCAAGACTATATCAAACAGGGAATTGCTCAGCTGCCTGTAATATGGTTTTATTACTGGGCACCGGCAGTGAAAACTAAGGATTGTGGCTCAATAAATGATAGATTTATCGTCCAAGAGACATTTTTAACAGCTGCAATAATAGGGTAGATGCCTAATTTTTATTTTGATGTCCGTCTGGTAGATTATTTGAAATCATTAGACACGTATTTTTTATTTTATTACAGAAACGAATACTTTCGACGATATATTGATTTGAAATGTCGCGTGACGTCACTTCTATGTACATTTTATACGTAGAAATGACGTTTTAGCCCACACTCCTAAACTTTGATTCGTTTTATCTAAGTATTGTTTTATTATACGTGTCTAATATTTTTTCATTACCTAACTTACGGACTAATTATTATATTTTTAATTTTCATACCCTGTCATCATCCCAATTGGACAAATGAGACTAATGTTAGGATGGCGCTCCGGGAGTCACTTTGAAATTGACACTAGAAGTGCTGCTAGTATTAGCTTTTATTAAAACTTCACAAACTTTAACTCGCTATAGTAATTACTATGTCAAAGTGTCTTTTTGGACTAATGATATAAACCGGTTTTACTCATTAAACATTTTACTGAACTGTGTAACTGCGCTGTACATCGTATGTTCATCATATGCGGCGTTATTTAAAAATTACAGTGATGGGGTTGTGCCTTAGTCAGCAAATATGCATGCACGCGTAAGTGCCACGGGTTGTAGGTATTGGTTAAATTGGAATTAACAATTATATGGCATAGTTCATGACATTTCGCTACATCAGCGCACTCTGGTGAGTATCAAAAACATGCAGATACTTATTCATACCTGGTTTACTAAATAACCCAAGTGATGAGATCGCAGTGTGGTCCATTTCCAAGACTTCCTCTTTATGTAGTTTTGGTTTTGATGGAGAAGTAATCTTGACTTCACTTATTGCTGACACAATTGACATACACTTGTCCTATAAAACAGCATACGAAATTTAACGGGTAGCTGGGGCTCTGGCTCGACGCAGGAACAGGAGCGGGGTGATTTTTAGTCATTAAGGGTCTGACACTTCCTCTCGCCTTATCCGAGGCAAGAAATGAGATGATTTGTGATTTCTCCCCCCCTAAAAAACTCGGTTCATTTAAGCAGCATCTTTGTGTGTTGTTGTTCATGTTATTCATAAATATGAGCCCCTAGCGCGGTTTGAAACTAGTCGAGTTTCCCCCTCAAACAGCTATGTGTGAAGCCGTTAAACATAATCATATTCTGTTGGACTCGAAGCCAATGCCAGACTACTTACCGGTTTCATCAACATGTGCTGTATCTCGGGCGTGTTGTTGACAAAATCCCAGAAGTCAATGATTTTTTGCTGAACTAAGGGTGTGTCTACCTCTGTGTCAGGAGTGAAATCTAGGTGCAAATGATGAGGAGTAAAGGGTTCTCCACACTCTCCATCTGCAAAGTCGCTGAACCTAGTTTTAGCCGTAACCTCAGTATCTCGACCTCCCGTGCACGAATCACGAGTTTCACGGTCGAGTCCACAAAAAGAGGACAATGACAAAGTTGGCATATTTGTATTAAATTAATAATTTAAAATATGTAACTCTTCTTATTTTTTAAGTCATCTGTTGACATTCAACGATTGACAGATTTTTTACTTTTCTTTTTTTAGTCAATTTTATCTTCTGCCATATAGTTCTGACATTTAGTTTAATTAAACCTATCCCAAAAACAATGATGATGGCAAATGGCAACAATAATGCCATTAGCAGGGGAGCTCATGATGCTAAATATGGATTTACTCGAGCGTCGTAGAGACCTACTGGATTTTGAAGATGTGCTGATAGAAATAATAACGATTTAGTGGTAATTCCTACCAATGGGGATCCACAGAACTTTGAAATTGTTACTGTTCTAGTCGTCAAGAGAGTCAGATACTGATAGTGTACATGCTCCGTGTGTCTCTGATAATGAAAAACTCTTGATCTGCCAGTTTTCATGGTGGGGTTGAACGTTCTGGAGAGTACAAACGAGAACTCTTCAAAATCCTCTTGCAAATCAAGCTCGAATGGGCAGATTTTATTAGCATGCTATTGACATCTTTTTCCTTAATCTCACGAAACTGACTTTATTTAGTTAAATTTTGTTTTTATTTTTTATTCCCCTTTTAATCAAATCGGGTATATGATGGGTACATTCATCATGACACTAGGTGTTCCCCATATAATATATTACTCTGACGCGCTCGAGTAACAACCGAAATCCCCTCATGGGCTCACCTACTACATTGAAAGCTTGCAAGCAAGTGTGAAGTATTTCCTGAATGAATGGAATAAGTTGAAAACGGGAATCACCCTATTGTGCGAACGAAGTTACTGGCAGAAACTAGTGTTGTATTCATATAAATGTAGGCGTATCCTTACTAATATATATAATATTATAAATCGGAAAGTGAGTTTGCTTGTTTGTTCCGCTTTCACGCCATATCTACTAAACCGATTGCTTTGAATTTGTGCAGATGTATAGTTAGAAGTCCGTACTTTTTATCCCGAAAAAATTGATATTCCCGAGGGAAAACTAAAGTATTGGTATAGGTGGCGCTGTGTGTATTGGTATATGTCACATAGGCTACTATTTATCCTTTTGTGTCGCGAGCGAAGCCGCGGGTAAAAGCTAGTTGTAATATAAATGGCTTAGGACACCATTGTCGAGTATCAATATGTACCGCTGTGGACCTGGGTCGTGCACTAACTCGCTTATGTATGCAAAATCAATAAAAATCTTGACTAAACATGTATGGCACGTGACACGACTTCACATCACCGAAAATTTGCAGAACATCCTAACTTCTGAAAGAGAAGTAAAGAATTTTTGAATCTACATCAGAACTTCTAAGGTTCAGTTTAGCTTGAGAAGCTTCGAATGTAGGGCAGCTTGGAAATAGGTCTTTAGTGAGCGGCAAGGGTTAATGGTGTTTAAAATATGCACGGGCCATCTTGGGAACTGCATACTGCATCCGGGAGCTTAGAATTAAAAATACTGGGTATGGGGACGTAATCATACCCTTTTTTTGAACGTGTCGTGTGTTATGTCGACGTAAAGTATACATTTTATGAAAATTGGATACATTTTTGGAAAGAGAGAGAGAACCATGTCGTCTTGGTGCGGTGGCTGGCCAACCGGCGGCCGCGCAACGTGTCGCGGTTTCAATTCCCGCACGGAGCAACTCTTTGTGTGATTCACAAATTGTTGGTCTGGGTGTGATGTGTATGTGAACTTCTATGTTTGAAAACGCACCCACGATACAGGAGTATGGGGCAAAGTTTTTATGAAAAACACAGAAAATATAAAAAATACACCAATGGACTAGTTAGTTCTGATGTTCGCCAATTAATTAACTATTATTTTCTTTATAGTTTTTATTAATTTTGCGATTGAAGTTCAAACAAAGTAGTTGAAGTAAATTATTAATTCGGCACTAGTCTACATTTTAACTCGCACGCGTGTATTACGATTATATGTATATATATATATGTATATATGAAGTATAAGAAGCACGCGTCTTATACTTCAGCACGTAATCTAGGAGTTGCATCTACAATAGGGATCGTGAAGAGAGTTGAGGCTGGTTTGATTACCAGCTAACTGGGGCGCCATCACATTCACACGGCACGTCTTACTGTCATTACAAGTAGTCGCAGGATCCTCGCAGGATCCAAGGATTCTGCGAGTTGATTGGCTACAGGTCCACTATGTCCTCTATCAGAGAAAATTGTTTAAAGGTGACGACGATAGATAGATACACAACATGTGTTTCCGATTCAATTATTTATTAAATTGTAAGTATATACGACAAGTTTACCAATATTTTAATTAGATTTTACAAAACTGTTGGTACGTACCAATAAATGAATACATAGTGGCTGTCTTATCAGAAACAATACAACATTGGCTAATCACCGATAACTTTCAATATGTTCATCATTAAGTTAATCGCACAGCAGTTTTTACTTGATGTTGTAACCTTCACCTCATGTAGAGTACACCGCTCCGTGTCACAAATGTTGGGATTTTCCTGTTGCTGTAGCTCCCATCAAATTAAGTTTTTAAACGAAATGTCGGTATACTTGACATTTAACTAAGTTCATATAATAGGGACTTCCCTAAATCCCAACCTTACTAATATTATAGTTATGATGCAATGTTATTGTATTGTAATGTTGACTGATAGTGTGTTACTTCTAATCGTTAACTTCAGCAAATGTTGTAAATGTCAAGGATTTTTATTTTAATGTCCGTCTGATAGGTTATTTTAAATCATTAGACCCGTATTTTTTATTTTCTTACAGAAACGAACTCTTTCGACAGTATATTGATTTGAAATGTCGCTGACGTCACTTCTATGTACATTTTATACGTAGAAATGACGTTTTAGCCCCCACTCCTAAACTTTGATTCGTTTTATCTAAGTATTGTTTTATTACACGACAAAATAAAAAAATACGTGTCTAATATTTTTTAATTCCTAACTTACGGACTAATTATATTTTTAATTTTCATACCTTGTCATCATTCCAATTCAAAGAGAGTACTGTCAGTGGCGCTTACATAGTAATAATGAATGAAGCAAGATAAAGGTAAAATATCTAGAAACGCAAAGAGGTGAAAATAAGGGTTGACAAATTTGTCGGTTCTTCACAAAGTCCGTAATCCACGCGAGTGAAGCTGCGGGCTAGTAGTAAAACAAGATGTCTCCGTTATATTACTATTAGAGGTAGAGTGAACCTATACTTACATAAAAAAAAATGTTGCGGAGAACCTAACGGGTTACCGGGGCTCCGGCCCGACGTGCAGGAGAAGGAACGGGGTGGTTTTTAGTCAGTAAGAGTCTGACACTCCCTCCCGCCTCACCCAGGCGGGAGCAGTCATTTGATGATTTTCCCCCCTTTAAAAAAATACTTACATAATATAAAAAATAAACAAAATGTATATGCAAGCAATATAGTTGTGTTGTTGTACGCAGTGGACTATGTTTAAGAAAAAAATACTAGGTAGTAGGTAAGGTAGGAAAGTTAAGTATCAAGTCCCAAAATGTCTAAACTTTTACTTAAAAACTTATTTCGGTGCTGTGCAGTAACTCCGTTGTCAGTTGTGAATAAAGTGCAAATTGTTTTATGTTTTGTATATAAACATGTGTTATCTTGAGTTCAACATATTCCCGCTTCTACAGTCAACAGATACAGTGCACAAAAATGTTGAAAATATATTTAATTTGTTTGTCTTACTTGTTCATGTTACACTTGGGTAAGATCATTTTACTTTTTAATAATTGTAAGGCTGAATAGAACCTCTAGTAACGCACACGGCTGCATAAAAGGCTAGCGTAACAGAAAGCCGTCTAGCTTGTCTGTAAGGCCGTGGTATCACTAACTCATCATGACACTCCCAAGTGGGAGTATCAATGGGATCATTTTTTTTGCGATGATTTTATTTTAAGATTTATTGAACTTAATGTAGATAAGGTAGTAAGTTTTTACTTACATGCATATTAGATTTAAGACATAAACAAACATAGGTAAACTTTAATATTACAATGTACCAATTGGTGAAAGCTCTTTAATGTGTTTTGTTTGTAAATAAATTACAGAGAGTGCACAATGCGACCCTCAGTACTGGTTCAACATGGATGCGAATGGTTGGCTCAAAGTGCACACGATACCCGCCACATGGGAGGAAGCATTCCTTCGATGCCACTATGAAGGTAACACTAACACCAAACTCAATAATATACATTTTTGAAAGTCCACGCTATAGGAGAACACGAGAATTTCGAATATTTTAAAACCAACATCGTTAGGCGGCGTTAGTAATCTATACATATAAAAATCGTAGGAAGGTCAAAACTGTACATTGAATATTTCATAAAAGAATACTTTGGGCATAATTTACAATCTATATCGAAACCAAAAATATAATTTTTGGAATTTTTGTCTGTTTATACATGCAGATGTATGTCCGGGCTAAACTTAAAAATACTGCATAGATTTAGGTACTTCAAATTTTGCATGAATATTACAAACAGGCCAGTTTGCTGTCACCTACAGGAGAGGAGCTGTGAAGAAGTATCCAAAGTCACTATTCCAAGCGGACGAAGTCATGGGCATCTAGTAGTGACGAATATAGTTTTATGGCTCCTCACATGGCGCTGATAAAGCTTAAGATCCTGTTTGTTTATCCAATAGACAGTGGCTAAGTTAAATAATACTGACATCCGAATACCAAAATGCTTCCCAATTTTTACTTATACCTAAATATCATGCTATCTCTGTCATTTTTCAAGTATTTGTAAGTGACAGAAATATTTTTGAGATCGTCTTAAAATTGAGTAGTGGAATTGTATTTTGTTTGCCTTCACCAGAGAGAAGGAAAACAAATTAGACATCGTACAATAACATGGTGGTGACCCGGAGGTTAACCACTATCCAAAGAGCGTTAGATATGCATTACACCTAAACGATATATTTCAGTCCACTGATAAGTGAAACCTAAATAAGAGATAAACAGGTTCATAGTGTTGCGATAATATTTGAAGGTCATCTACTATG